ACATAGGTAATTAGTTGTACTGTATGATGCATTTTTCCTTTTTAATAAGTAAACATTTGATTTCGTATACATCTATTTGTACATTTGTATATTTTATTACCAATTCTATTGTTTCCAGTTCTAGTTAGTCTACACACCGCATTTTTATATTTTTGTATGTACATTTATGTTAGATATAGGCTTACTATAATTTTTATTGTCATTTGAACTTAGTTGTAATGTCAGTTGTAGAGCCACCATGTGGAAACGCTGTCATTAAACCATTATTAGTATTGTTATTGTCATTATCATTCTTAGTGAGTTGTGCGTACACGGGTCCTCACTTCCTTGATTTAAGTATGTAAATGGCTTTCTTAGGTTACTCTTAAGATGATACGAAGCAGAAAATGATTATTTTTTCATTTATTCCTTTTTCGCCGTTTTGTGGGAACACTTATGTGTATTTCACACAACAGACTTACTAGGACACCCCAAATGTCCCCATTTAAAATATGTACGTTCAAAGAGTTAGCCATTTCTAAAGAATTTTTCTGTGGAGACGCAAAAATGTCCCTCTATCTGAACAGTCCCCACAATGCTGCTGTGTCCATATTCAAGTCCCCGAAAGAGTGCAGGGTAAACGCGTGTATGGGTGGGTGTGTGTGTATGATTCAACTGAAAACAAAAGGAAAAACACCTAAACACAAAATAGAACTAGAAACTGAACAAAATAAAACGAACTTGCAATCTGCTGCCTATCCAACAGAACCCATGTTTAGAATTAAAATAGAACCCAGACGTTATTGAAATCAGCCAAATTGACGGGCACTGATGAAATCCCTAGTTAAAGGACTCACAGATCATTGACTTTACACCCTGTAATACGCAGACGTCATAGCTGTTCGGTATTTCCTTCATTCTTCGTTACTTTTCCTACTCCGACGGTAAACTGACTCTACGGATCATAGCATCGTCCTATTATAAAGGGGGTGTGCAAATCACAAAAAGGAAAACGTCTATTTACTTTACAACGATTTCCTTGCCCCTTGAAGGTAGAAATATGTTCCAGAAACCAGATAATGTCAATCATCCTTTAAACTGTGTATGCCCGGTTTTGCGATTCCACAGACTCACGGTAACCGGCTTCCTTGCAAACATGTCTCCATATCGAGTAGCATCCATTAGTTTCGTTAGTTTGATGGGTTACTTAACCCTTTATATCCTAATATCAGTAAGCATATTCTCCATACTGTTCTTACACATTTCCAAAGAGGCTGACAAGGAGAATTTGTTTCACAATCAAGAGCTGCTTTAGTTGGTGATCATCTCTTCTATTCTCATGACTTTCGTGTTTGATTCAGGGCTGATATTGTAAGGAGAAATTAATTGCTATTCACTCTTAGGGACTAAAGGGTTACGAGATTGATGGCCTGGTAGCCACTGTAAACAAACCTTCCTTTGTGGCAGCAAACCATTTTATCATTCTATAAAATTTACTCTCTTTGACATGTATCGTTGATTCTTTCCATTTCACCTACGCGTCGATTGAAATATTGGACTCGCAGAAAATCCAAGAGAGTAGTCGGTTTCTGTGCCCTGAGAAAAGACGGGTAGGGCAGGGATTTCAATCAAAGGCGGGGCTATCGGGGGTTTAACACCGCGTGTTAGACTCCTCTCCACCGTCTGTTTACCGTGCGAGGATTCTCTAGTTATTTGGGTTTCGCCTCACGGTGCAGCCGCCTATTACAACATCGGCAGCCCTCGGCAGCCGATTGCGGAAAAATGAATAAATGGGGGAAAGTTCCTAACGAAACTGTGGTGCTACGTTGGTGGGGGAGTGTAACAAGAGAATTTGGTTTTATCAACTAAGCTGATAATGTAAATTGGTGATCGTAGAGTTTCTAAAGCTGATATTTCGAGCGCTATCTCCTTCCCAGAGCGTCATTATTAACTCAATTGATAAAACCAAATTATGGGAAAAGTTAGGTTAAGGTCATTGTCGAGAACATTTGACACCAGTCGCTTGTGTTAAATTGTCGCATGATTCTTACGATCACTAGTCATTGTCCTTAGAGATCGAGCAACAATTTTCGAGTGCTTTTTGAAAATCTCACACGCATTGTTTTGTTCTCCATTTAAGCTGAAAATCTCTCAAAGACAAAAGAAAAACTTTTCGCTGCCTGCAGTTCTTCTCTTAAGCGTTAACAACGAGAAGCTTTAACTGTGCTCTGTTCTGTTGTAAAGCACATAGGAAGCGGTTGGAGCACGAAAGAAGTGTAAGGAGAAACACGAGACGTAGTCAAGTGTTTCTCCCCACTTCTTGAGTGCTTTACAACAGAACAGAGCACAGTCAAGGCTTCTCTATTTGTTTTATAATAAAGAATCTTTTAAATTCCCCACGCATTATTTTCAATTTCCAGAAAAAACTTTATTTCCAAAGCGAACAAAAGTGTCGTCAGCATGCTCTGTACTATCATAAAGCACGCTACAATAAGCCAATCAGAATCATTGTTAGAATGGTTCAAATAATCTGATTGGTTGAACAAGACTAAAGCTGTCAAAAATGTCAAACCATCAAAGTTCGCAATTTGCAATAGTTTGCAAATTTAAGAAGTTCGGCAGGTCGCATTTAACACTTTTGCCTGAGGATTATCGTCTCTGCTCACTTTACAATAACGTAAATTACGGCGCAAAGATAATTTTACACTTTCAACCTTTCTTCTAAAAATAAGACCTAAAAACGCCCCTGGACTGCAGAAAACTTCCCCCGAAAACGTATCATAGATGTGATTCTCTAAAACAAAAGAAGAAACAACAGCGCATTGCGTCCACTGTTAAGATTTGCTATTTCATACTCGTGAATATCGCGCAGTGTTCATGGCAGCCAATCATAGAAGCACTTTCTTAGCGTCCATGCCGGTCCTTTCCTGATAACAGTCGATGTAATGACCAGATCCTTCCATTCTTTAAAGCTACAATCTATTTCGGTCACCATTCACGCAGGCTCTCGCGTGTGATGCGGCATTTCAGGGCACGGAAAGACGGTGCGCCATTATTAACTTCGACGTTATCAACTTTTCACACATCTCCTGAAGGACATTGTTTATTCTAATTTTTAGTTAATCCTTTTATCTGGTGTAGCGCGTTTATTCATCAAGTAATCGGGAATACCAGAGAAAAAGTCCTTCTCATATTGAAGTCTGCTCATCAGACATCACATCAGATTGGAAACACTTTGAATATCTCCATCCGCGCAAATACGACTCAGTGGAAGTGAACAACGAAATTAGTTGGGTGAATTTATTTCTACAGCTGACAGAAAACCACTTCAATCAGAAAAGAATAATCATAAGAATAAATGACAAATTTTGCGGTTTTCAAAAATAAGTTTATGGAAAAAAGATTGTTATTGCAAATGCTGTTTTTTGATTGAGCCAATACGCAAGATATTTCACTATTAAAATAATTAAGATCAAAGTTAGAGACCTGCTCCGGGTTTTATAAGGTAAACTGAAAAATTATAAATATGGACTTCCTTATCACTGGAAATAAGAAAACAAATTTATTGTAAACGTACGAAAAAAGCACCAAGGAATTCATCAAATGGGATTTCTCGTGCTTGGTTTTGAGTATTATTATTGACTGACGGAGCACAATTAAAAAAAGTATACCACGTTCATAAATTTACTTTTCTTAGGAAGTGCACCATAATAAATCAATTATCAACCGTAGTCGAATTTTTCTTGATTGCGTCGTACATTGAACTAACTGAAGACATTCCGTGAACAAGTCTCTTTACAGAGTATTAGTTCAGGATCTTTTCAGACTACAGTGGGCGCTTAAGAAGCACTAGCCAGCTGTCAGAATTAATGAACACTTCCCCTTCAGATACAAAGTACCTCGTTAAAGCGTGAAGTCTCAATGCGATCAGCACTTTAATGAAAAGTGGCAATGAAAGCTATTCTTTCTTTACCTTGCCGATAACAAGAGAGTCAATATATGTTTCTAGAATTATGGAAATTCACACAGATTTTAATTAAGCAATTGTGACAAAAAGTTCAGCTGGAAAACTCTAAGCCTGAATTTCCGCGAAAAAAAAACATGAAAGTCACCGGGAAGGTGCGAGATGATAGTCAAAGGCCGCCTATTAAATTTCACACTGCCGAAAATTTTTCAGAAAAAAGCGTATTTCCAACCTTAAGAACTTACAAAATGATTTGATACTTCTTTTAGGTCTTTATTTGCTTCCAATTACGTGGTTTCGTTTTTTGTTTTGTTCCAAATTGCTTACGCACCAAACCGAATCTAGGAAATTAAATCCCACCACAGCGGCAATGAATACGATCAAAGAAAAATTAGGAGAAATTTCGCTTGCTTGTTGGTTGCGTAAAGCAATAGTTTTAATCGCTTTCCTCCTTTGGATTACATCAAAAACTGGTGCAGTGATTTCCTTCCATCGACCTGGCAGGACTTTTCCGCCTGCTCATCGATTCCTTTCAAATAGGAACGTCGGAGGTAGATCACCTTCAAGTGCAACTAATATAAATCGGATTATTCAAACACAGGTGGTAAATCAGACGCTAGTTTCCCACAAATAATTTTCCGGTGTTTATTTTTCAAAAAAACTGTAGTTTTGCTAAGATCTCATAATTAAACTTCAGCTTCTGAAAAAAGTTTATTAATTTTCTCGAAAAGATTTGTCACTAGTTCTACTTTCTGCTTCTCTGTTCTTGGAAAATAGAGATTCTTCGCAGTTTGTTATAGCCATTCATTAAATTTTTCAACGCTACACTATGGATAATTCCTGCTCAAACAGGGAAGAATTGACGACTTAATGCGAATCACATATTCCGTACTACTACGCGTGTAGAATCGCGCCAGAAGTATATACTGAATTATTTTTGTTTAATTACTTCGCTTTTGTTTTGTTTGTTTTTTTTTCTTTTTCCTTTAAACGGCTCAGGCTGAAATAAGACCAGGTAAGAAAACTTCGATGTCATTATGGTTTATTATTATTATTCTTTTTTTTTTTTTTTTTTTTAATCTCTGTTACACTAGCGATTCCATTATTGTACTTTGATCACACCGCTCGTTCTTCTTCCTCTTCTTCTTGAAACACGGAATCATCAAACACAACTCACGACGAAAATCTTGTTTCAGGAACGTATACAACATCGGATTAACTAGTGAAGTAGAGAATCGCAAAAAGTCAAAGACCAGCAGCCATACTGGCGGTATGGCGTAGAACACATCTGTGCCGAGGTAGTCTTGTAGCAGGCTTATGTACCAAGTGGACCAGCAGCACGTAAATATTCCCAACATCAGAGCGAAGATAGATATGGCTCGCTTTTCAGTTACTAAATGTTTGCCTCGGCTGCGAAACTCATGAAAAGTTTCCAGCTTCCTAATTTGTTTTGCTTGATGATGAATCACATTAAACATTCGGATGTAAAAAAACAACATGAGCGCTAAAGGTATCAACAAACAGACAACGATTCCAATCATGTTGTAGATCAGACCCCAACGAAGTTTGGTAGGATTTCGAGACGTGAAGTTGTCTAGTTCTTGCCACGCAAGTTGTATCAGCGCCATGAACAGGGAAAAGAACCACACGGAGGTTATGAGGGTAACTGTTCTTCTTTTGGTCACAATAGTCATGTATCTAAACGGATAGATCACAGAAACGTACCTTTCGCCGGTAATTATAAGGATATGAAATATAGTGGATACAGCAATAAACCTGTAAACAGCTGCTGATGTTATGCACAGTCCTGAGAAATTCTTATAGCCGACCAGTGCATTGCAAGCGGTGTTCATTGGGATCCCAAGAAGACCCATCATTAGATCAGAAACGCTTAAACTTACCAGCAGTAAGTTCGTTTTCGTCCGTAGAGGTCTTCTTCTGACGAACAACACAAGCACTAACAGGTTGATGGCGATGATGAGGACGCTAAGACTGATTAAACAAGAGTCGTAACTGACGTCGAAGTAACTCTCTGGTGGTAAGTCGCCGCCACTTTCCACCGAAGAGGAGTTGTTCGACTCCATCACATCCAACTTACACGCGCGCGTCAAGTCCAGGTAATACTTGCTAACAAGCAATCTTTCAGTTCTTTTTAAAGCGAAGCCACCAATGACCTTTCGGCGCTGAGGAGCAGACTCTTAGGTAAACAATCGTTTTTATAATCGAGGTTAATAACGACTAATATTTCGCGGTGAATTTGCTAAAGAGACCCGACAAAAAGTCCTTGATTAACGATAATATTATGAATCGGGTGATTTCCAATTAATACAGTTTCCAATGTTCAGCCACGTTTCCAGATATTGAAAAGTTAATGATTTAAACGGAAATGTGTCTCAGTTATGTCTTTGATGCTTGATTGATGGCATTTGAGTCTTTAAGTAAAAGTCTGTCACATATATTTTTTGTTATGAAACAATAGTTCTCTTGCAGCTTTTCACACCTCAGTCTCGTAATATTTTATAATCCCATCGCTTTTGAAAAGCCACTTAGGTTTTTTTTGTCTTGGACAGACTCTTGATAATATGCTACCGCAAATATCGATAAGTTCTACTTAATCGACATTCGGATCGACCTCTGTAATAAATTTTTAACCAACCCATCCCGGCGATAGGAGTATTTTTGCCTTATATTCCTTTGTCCGAAGCAGTTTTGCCGATGTTGACACTACCTATTTCAAATTAATACTAACCTCAAAAAACAAATGTTAACGAAAGTTAAAAGCTCAAAGTAAAACTGGCTCCCTGAACGCAGAGCAAAATCTGTAATAAGAAATAACTTAATCAAACGACCGTAAATTGAACGAGTGAAGCGATGCATTTAATTGTCAAAATTACTAAAAATGCAATGTCTTGACTACCGTGGTGATAAGTTTTTTTTTTTTTCGATCACGATAAGATAACGTTCAAGTGCAAATTACTTTCCGGCTAAACATTGATTACGAGCGTTTATCAGGTTTTCAATAACAACCTGGACTACATGTACCGTCACGGTTATCGCTTGCACTTTCCCCAGACTTCTCTTCGAGCAGGGTGTGCCTTACAGCGCGTGCATTGCAAATGTCAAATTAAGATTGCAAAACAAGTTCAATTTTATGGTCACTTAAAGTCACGTTAAATAAGAACTATTCAGTTACGACTGAAAAATTTATAGTCTTATCTTTGTTCAGTTACTTTTGTTGTTGTTTGTTTGTCTGTTTTTTTCCGTTTTTACTTTTTAACGCTATAGATCAAATGGTAGAATTGTCCATAGCCCTTTCAGTCCAAGTTGTAACGGTACAGAGAGTGCATATTTGAATCTTGAAAGTAAAAGGATTAAATTAAAAGTGTGTAGATCGTGCGCTTTAAAGAGGAGATCTCTTCGTTTCACCCTGATCCCACGCTAGAATTTAGCGCGAATCAACACGGGAAAAATGACAATGTGCTCTTGTTCAAAAATTAAGCAGTTTACAAAACGACATACGTTGCTCGTATGACGGTGGCAGAAGCTCTGTTCAGAAAATTAATGAAACATAAGAAACCGCCTAAATTTCAAATTTCTTCGACCGGAGTCCTTGTTAGTCTTTTAGGACGTACATCCAATTTGTTCGGCAGATTCTAATCACTTTCAAAATAAAGGAACTTGTTAGATTCTGTTCAAACAGAGAAAAAAAATTAATTTAAGATTGAGTCACACTTCAAACACTTGTGACATTTCTGTTTAAAGAGAAACGATTTATAGTTGCGTCGAAACCAATGGAAAAGTGTTATTTCCATACCCAGATGCTTAGATTCACTACGTGAGTCCTGGCTTAAAAAATTTATCTCCTCAAAATACAGGTGTAAGAGGAGTGTATGAAATTTTAATTACATCACAGCACATGAACTACAAATTCTCCCCGCTGACTCAATCAGAATATTTGATTTTTTGTCTTTGCTGGATTCTATCTCTGACTGTCGGTCAATGCAGGCCATGGCAAACATTTTAAATTCTGAGTAGTCGAGCTCCTGAAAGCATAAGTAAGATAGATTAATAAAAAAATACCGCTTAGCTACTTTTTATGTACACACTACAAAGAGCATCATTATTAACGCTCCATGATAATGAGTGAAATCAAATTTACGAGTCAATAACAAGTGATAAGAGTCGATTGCTGAAGGCGAAAATAACTTAGTCAAAGTGTTAAGAAGATTAGCGCTTTTTAGGTTTTTCTTTCACCTATCTCCCCGACCTCCTTGTACAAAACTGAACTGTTGAAGTGAGTAATTGTTCTTTTCTCGTCCGACATTGAAAACAGAGAATACAGACTCTTTCGTGGAAGCTGGAAGAGTTCCAACACTGCTGTTATTCAATTGTTTAACCTACACAACTACTTTCCCCTATTTTCAAACCTGGTCTCCAGAAACGTCAAATTCCCTAAATATGGTTTGAATAGCTTCGCCTTGTAGGTTGAACAGAAATCCAAACGTTTCAAACTCATAGGCAGAGATATTTCCGCTGTTATCTTCATCTAAGAGGTCAAACACGGTCCTTGAATGGCGGTAAATGAAGTTTTTCTCCGCTTTATCTTGAACCGCGATGAGAATACAGATGAGTAGGTAAAATTCATCAAAGTCCATTGCACCAGACCCATCTACATCTAACATGTCAAACACTTTGTAGATTTGATTTGTGCTCAGGTCAGTGGCTGTCTTCATGAAAGCACAGAACTGCACATCATTGAGAACCATTTCATCATGAACATCAATCAGGCGAAACAATTCTAAAACTATGCGAACATTCCTGCCTGGGAAAAATTTTTCGCAACACATAATTAGAAAACGGAAAGACAAAGGCCCACAAAATGATGCTAAGAATTGAATGCACAGGAATAACAAAGTGAATGAAGGCTGGAGCAAAGAACTTCGAAGCATCTAAATTCCCCATATTGTCTCAAAGCTAATATATTGCTTTAAGGTTGTCTACTTCTGCTAAAGATTAAAATCAGTTTTATTTTATAATGCTAGAGATTTCATCGTTGTTATTGTAGATTCAAGGATCGGGTAGCGAATGCTTATTAACTCCTGTAGTAGAAAATCACCCAAAATTGTTAATTTAAGATTTCATGTTCTATTTTTAAGTGTTCCTGGTCATTATCGCTGAATTTTAATCTAAACCTTCCTAAGCCTCTCAATTTGATAATTTCCTGCGTGACACTTGATGGATTCGAGCCCTCTGTGAGACACAAGCTTTTCTTTATGTACTCCCCTCATAGCAGATGTCATTGACACCTATAATCGGTTGAGAAAAGTCCTCTGTTATGAGGTGTCGTTTCTCTGAAAATGTTTTGAAATTACTTTATTAGCGGCATTCGTTTGGTTTAATTTTTACTGCGCAAAATGATCGTTCTCCCAAGCCGCAGCGGCTTAAGTACGTTGCGTGAATAATGGTAAGATCTCTGCACAGCCAATACTTCATTATGCACACGGTTCTTGGGGAAAGAAAACAATATTTTGCCTTTAGGACTACAGCTTTATTATACAAAGCATCTTTTTCCAGGAACACACTAAGTTTTGTGATACATCTTAACAAGTTCAAGAGAACGCTTTTTGTTACCACAGTTAAAAAAAAACAAAATAAAACAAAACAAAACAAAACAATGTATTAGAAAAGCCCCTGAACAATACTTACCTGTTAACAGACAGTAAGTTCTATCCAAATGCATGTACTTTAAAATCTGGGATCGTATCTTCATTTCTCATCTGTGACTTAACCTTCACCCATCCATTCATCATTGTTCGTCTTGTGACGTTTTTATTACAGGGAGCGCGTGCATAGCGCGCGGTTACCTTTCCCAACGCATTCAACGATTGCTGTAATCTTATCTCGAAAAAGTAAGATTTCTTACGGCCGGGAAAAATTGCAAAACATTCTCTGTAGTTCGTATTTCAATGAATTAATTTTCAAATAGAGGAAAATGACCGTTTGGATCGCTTTGCTGAGTGGTAAGCGCCCTTTTGCTCGCTCAGATATTTGCGAGTTTGGGAGTTTAATAACGCGTGCCCTTTGTATTAAGTCACACATTTGGGCAATTTGGTTTGAGAAAAACTTAACTCTCACGGTGCAACTCTCCTTTCTGGGGGAAAAGGGGCACTGGTAAAGTTGCAAAGCGGTAATCAATATCCCATCTGGGGGGAGAAACAATTCTTGTAGTTGCTTCACGCTACAATCACCTAGATATGCTTTAGTGTGATAGAGCCACTCAAAGGGTCGAATGCATTCTTAAAAAGGATAGCACAAAACAAAAACAATATCGGCTTCCTACATGCTGATAATTCGTTGGACGCTTGATGCATCCTTACACACTGTTTTCTTTGTTTCAGATACCAAATTCAATTGAAGCTTTGGTTTTCATTCAGAAAAGTAACTATTGTTTATTTCTGTTCTAATATAGAGCCATAGTTGACATAAAATAAATATCATAGTTTTTCTCATAAAGGTAAAAATTTTGTTTGTAACTAAATGTGGCTAACTGGAGGCAGAGCGTAAGTGACAGGAAAAAATGTCTTCTTCCCGTTCGCGTCAACAGTGGTCCAGACGTCCACAATAAATGACAAATTTCCTCTTTTTAAACCCGTAGAAGAGTGTGATGGTAACCAAAAGTATTAAGAGCACGTTTACCGCATTGTGAGACATGAAATCAGTTTTGACGTCAAAGTGTCACGTGTATCCTGTCAGCTTGCTTGTGGCTAACTTCAGAATGCAATCAACTGTTGGAGTGTAAAAAGTCACCAGTTCACTTGACTCTACAACGCAACCATAATAAGACAGTTATGAAGGGTCAATAACATTCATCAGTCTTAAGTTCGTTCCCTCGTTCGCACGTTCATGCATCCATTTATTAAGCAGGTCTGGCCTTAAATCATATGCTTTAATTAAAGATCCTGCAGTTCGTACTCATTGAATTTGCAATTGCAACCAAAAA